ACTGGATTGGTAATGGCTTTAAATACCAGACTCTGTCCCTCTCTATCCCACACACACACACACATATACATAGCTGCTTCATGCACGGTTGCTTTTCAAATAGAGATGATGAATCTTCAGCTGCTGGAATATTTTCTTTATTTTCTTGAAGTGAAGTGGGGTCAGACGCACTGTATTTTCTAAATGCCACAGTCGGCATCTAGATATTAGTCATTTTTGCAGTTTTAAAGCTGTTTGCAGAATCGTGTCCAAATTGTTTTTTTTCTTTTTCTTAAGAAAAAAAAACACAAAACACAAAGAAAAGTCAGAAAGAGCCATAAAGAGAGGCGGCGCAAGGGTGAATAGAGCAAAACTGACATCCTTCTTTCCCATGCTTATCACATCCTTCTTCTTTTAACAGCCAGTTGTAGACACTTCCTTTTTTATTGGAACTATATCTGTTCCTTCAGAAACATCACACACAGTTGGCAGAGGAATGCACAATTAGCATATTCATGAGATGAATACAGTGGAAACTTTGGAGTCGCAAGCGACAGGGGGTGCGGGGCGGAATGCTGTTTGTGTGTACGTGTGTTTGTTGCGGAACAAAAAAGCAGATGGCACGGTGACTTTGAAAATCCAAAATTAGGTATGTTTTCATGAACTTCATGCTCATTGGCTATGTAAATCGCACAGTCAGACAGTCATGAAAGACAATGTTGTGTGTTTTCCAGCTTTTCCACTGAGATAATGTTTGTTGATTGAAATCTGCTCGGCACTTGGAGGCTCCTAACAGTTTTAATTTTCCGTGTGTGTGTGAGTGTGTGTGTGCCCTCGTGTATATATTAGACGTAACTGAGAAATGACATCCTCATACAAGTCATCTGATTGCAATCTGAAAGTGAGATTTTTTTATCTGGACTAATCTGGCATTCAACAGTTTTGTATTCCTCGCTCGTTGCTAAAACGTCTTTTGATAATTTGGAAATGAAGGCCACAGTCTGCCGGTCCTCTTTGGACTCTGCTTTTCCTAATTAGTGCGTGCATGGTTTTTGTTTTTCTTTGAATCTTGGCTAATAATTCTGGACAGATGTTAGCTTGAAATTCTGGCTTTCAGGTGGTGTGATGTCTTGATATCTTTTCGATACAAACAACTTGCAAGAGAGACCTATGACGCCGCCACATCTGCCGCTCACGGCGCATCGATCCGCCCGCGAAAGCCCGAAACGCGTCGTCTTATCTCTGAACTTCTAAATGAATTCTTGCTCGTGTTGTCTCAGCTTGCCGAGAGTCATTAGCTGTGTTAAATAAGGTTGGAGTAGTGCTAATTGTTCACAAACCAATCACACAAATTGCAGTCTCTAATTAATTGCTTTTTCTGCCTCTACAAACAATAGCCAGTTTGTTAAATTTTATCAATATGCAAATGCGCACTTCTGCAATGGCAATCCAATAGAGGCACTAGATATATTGAAGGGTGCATAAGGAACGGAGCTACAGATTGTGTGATTTAGCGTCCGATTAGTGTACCGAATGTATCCACAAAAACAATGGAGGGGAATGTCTATCATGTTATAAATCTGCATAATGCTCAAAGCCCCACTCTAGTCATTGGTTTAACGCTCGTCTTTGTGTATACAAGTTACAAATTTATCATTTTTTTCCCAATGAAAATCTTCTTCCTGTCTTAAAA